TTTTTTTTTTTTTTTTTTTTTGTGATTTGAAGGTACGGGGTTGTAGAAGGGCCCCGCACCACCCCCCTCCCGCCCTCATCCCGACCGAACCGCCTACCCCACGGGCGTAAGCCCCGTAAATGGCCCCCGTGAACGACCTTTCACGGGATTTAGGCCCAGTGACCGGCCGGTCACTGGTTGGTGACCGGTACCGGTCACGTTCACGAGGTAGCCACAATCCTGAAGCCATTGTTCCACTGGGTCCCGGCTTAGAAACCTGACCAATCGTAGCCCCGGGAAGGGCCCTTTAAATCCAGTTTCATCCAAATCTTCCAGTTCGAAGGTGTTCAGTCCCATCCGCTTGGCGACCCGGTAGGGGCCTTTGAACCTTCTTCCCAGCTGTCCCGACCAAGTACTTTCTAGTGCCGAGTTCCTTAGCAATATCATCTCTCCCACTTGAAGTGGCTCCTTTCTTACATTCTTAACCTGGTCCCACCTTGCTTTGTCCCTCATTCTGCTGTCTAGTACGCGGTTGGCGATGTCTTCCATGACCTCCTCGTTCTTAAGGATCTGTTGACATCTTGCCTCGATTAACTCTTCAGTAGTCATTTGCGGATCATCATCTAACCTATTCCAGGTAGGTGGTATCAAGGCTTCCACAGGAAAGTCGATCTCTCTTCTGTACCAAAGTTCCACCGGGATACATCCTGTTGTCCTTTTAGGGATCATATTCTCCGCAAAGACAACCTGCTTAAGATACCTAGGCCAGTTCCCCAGATGATCCGCTGCGAGTCTCGCAATCGTGTTCTTCAAGGTTCGGTGCCCCCTTTCCACAGGTGCATTGGCCTCAGGGTGATACGGCTCGATGAGTTTGATCGGTACGCAGAGTCTCTTAAGCATCCCCAATACTTCTTGGTTCACAAACTCCGTCTCATTGTCTGCTATAAACCTCCTGACGAAAGGATACCTCAAGTAGAAGTCTTTTATCCAGTCCGCCACACTCCTCCCTGTCTTTTTCTTGAGGGCAATCGCCTCCACAAACCCACTCAAAGTTGTCTCGCGCATCCAGGATATACCTGTACCCATCCGTTGATACAGGCATGACCGCAAGGTCGAGGTGGACCAGATGTCCCGGCCCTAGCACCCTCGTTGGTCTAAGCGGCTCGAAGACCTGCACCGAGCTTCGTTCTTGGCAAATAAGGCAAGTTTGGCAGTATATGGCGACCATGCCTGGCCAATAATAGAGTGGCATTATCTTTGCAAGCATTCCTTTGGACGGCCGATGACCCCCAGGTAACCCGTCGTGCATTGCCTGGATAACGTCTACTTGCCTCGATCTTCCGCACACAATCCTTCTGGGCATAGCACCTTTCTCCCTTCGGAACAAATGCCCGCCCCTTAGAACGTACCTTTCGGCTTCTTCTCTTGCTTTAATACTGACTTCCGTAGGTTGTTTGTTGCCTACCAGCAACAACCCGATCTCCCGAAAGAGTTCTTCGTATGATTGGACATAGAAGAACTCCTCCCCTTCCTGGCCCCCATCCTTTTCCTTCCTGCATCTGGTTTACCACCCATTGCAACTCTTTCCTTTCCCAAGATTTCACTAAGCTCATCACTGCTTCCCGGCCTCCCTCGACCGCCATTGCTATTAGTTCCTCTTTCGGTCCTACTATTGCTCCCCATGAGTCCTTTTCTTCTCTGCGTCCTCGAGTGGTGACTGACCCTTCTCTAAGTTCTGCTACTACGGCAGGTGCCCCCTTCTCCAAAGTTTGGATGAATAGTTCTCCCGATATGCATCCCTCGCTCATCATTTCGTTATCCACCGCGAGAGTCCCTCCTTCGTATTCAAGGAATGCGTCTATGGGCTCCGCACCCTTCACCCCTTCTAGAGTGATACAGACCCGGCTCAGCCCATCGGCCTTGTTCCTAATTCCCGCAATTCGTTCGATTTTGTAATTGAACTGCCAGATAAATCCTACCCATCTCCCCACCATCCGGTCTATAGGCCTGTAATTCTTTAGGGTCCCCACAACATTCGTTGGACGATCCTAAGGATGAACCGCCTCCCAAATAGGTAGGCCTGAAAGGTCTTAAGGCAGTGCAAGATGGCTAGGACCTCCTTCTTGAACTGCGAGTACCTCCGCTCTGCGGAGTTCAGGGTTCTACTTTCGAACCTAATCGGCCTCTCTTTTCCTCCCTCATCCCTTTGAATCAACACGCCCTCTACAGTTAAAGGTCCTTCATCCGTCTCTAGGATGAAGGGTCGTCCTACTTCGTCATTAAAACAAGGTGCGGACAGGGTGACTGTCTCAGATGTCAATATGTACTTAAGCTTCTGGACTGCTCCTTCTCGCTCCTCCGTCCAATTCATGGTTCCTTCCTCCTTGATCATAGCCCGGATAGGCTCCGCAATCTTGGCAAAATTATTAGCGAAGATCCTTCAGAAACCGACCACGCCTAGGAATGCTCTCACTTCCGTTGTAGTGCGCAGGGGGGTTGGCCATTGCGATATCTTGTATGTTTTCGCTGGATCCGGCTTCCTACCGTAAGCACCGCAGCGAAATCCTAGTATGGTTACTTCTGGTACTGCTAGAATACTCTTTGGTTCACTAGCCGTGATGTTGTATATTAGGAACCGACAGAGCAAGTCCTCGATGTCTTGTAGATGGTCCCATACAAACTTTCGGATTCCTGGTTGGACTTCTGTCTCGTCCTTTTCCTGCCACCTTTGATCGGATTGTCGTCGATATAGGGCTCACACTTTTCTGGAAACATGTCCCCGGCCACGGCGAGCATTCTGCGTTGCGCTTCGGCCACCGCGTTTGTGAATCCCATAGGGGTCACTTGCATCTGTAGCTGGCCTACGGGGGTGTGCATAGCGGTGTACGGCCTGTCCCGAACATCCAACGGAAGCTCATCGTACCCTGAGTACAGATCTATCAGGGAGTAAATGCTCCGACCGGCGTGCGATTTTGCTAATAAGTCAGCCTGAGGTAGCGAGCCAGCATCCCGGATGGTTACCGCATTCAACTTCTGCAGATCCTGAATCCACCTTAGTGTCTTGTTAGGCTTTCGAAAGACGAACCACCGGTTTGCGTATGGCGACACCGTAGGCTCCGCAACGAAGGAGTCCATTTTTGCTCGGAGGAGATCTGTCACTTCCCCTGCTATCCCAAATTTATAGGACGGCCCCTTGTCATTCCAGCACTCGTGTTCTACCGTGTGAATTCTGACCGGAGGGATCAACTTCGCATCCAGTCGTCCCTTCTAGTTATCACTAAAGGCAAATGCCAGGTGAAACTCCTCGCAGGTCCTTTTGATCAGGCGGGTTTCCTCTTCTGTTAAGAACCCGTCTATCCCTATCTGCATTGTGTCAGCTACCTCATCAGGTATCCGATGTCCCTCCGTCGCCCTTCTTTCTCGGATTACTCGAAGGACCTCTTTCTCCTTCTCCACAGCCTCTCCCTTTGATGTCTGTAGCAGGATCGAGACTGGTTTTGCTTTCTTCCCTACCGGCTTGTACTTTCAAACACTTGCTTCCGGGATCTTTCTCCTAAAAAATGAACAGTCGGAATCGCCCTCGTTGCCATTACGACTCGTGGTTGAATGCTAATGAGTTTCTCATTCAGGCAATATCCCTTTTGCACCTCTCCTTCAAACTTGACCAGTGCTGCAGAGTCCAGTCCTACCTTGTGGTATCTGAGAGCCTTGATGAGTTGTAACAGATCGGGGATCTCGAGTGCGACTTCTGACACGTCTATGCGTACTTCTTCCGTTTGGGCAGGCTAGCACCAAGTTCGACCTCTGACTCCTTTTCTGCAGCCATAACACCTAGGACTTCGTCCTCCTGCCTCCTCTTCTTCTGGGGCAGGCCCATCTTGATCCACTCCTTCTTGTTGAATGCTTCCTCAATCATGATTTCTACCCTTTCTCTCATGCCCTCCATCCGTGCGAAAGTCCCTTTTCGCATGCTATCCTCGAACGACGGCGACCAGGTTGCCAATTTCCCCTTCGGGGGGTCTCCTCCCATTCCAAGGAGTCGGAGGAGCTCTCCCCGGCCGGTCACTGGGTCCTCTATGTCTACCATGTATGAGCCATCGTGCGAGTGCATGCCTATCATCTCCACGTTCGCGCACCACGGTCTCCCGAGGATTATGTCGTGGTCCATTTCCTCCATTACGGTCATCCGCTGAAACGACCAGATCGATTCCCTGACGCCTGCCCTTACAGCACACTTCGCGACGTACCCAGCGAACGGGATTTCCCCGCCAGCTGCCCGGATGCTCCCTCTTACTTCCTTGTTTACCGTACATCCCGTCATCGTTGCGAAATCTCTTCTTATGAGAGTGATTTCTGCTTCCCCGTCTACTAACGCGTCGGTATGATGAATCCCGATCTGGATTTTCAGCTTCCCTACGGGCAGTGCATGAAAGCTAAGCTTTGTCCCGAAAGTGGTAGCCTCATCACCTCGCCGCCCTCTCGGTCGGGCAAGCTCAAACGAATGTCTGCAAAGACTTTCTCGAGATCCTCCAAGTCCCCGTGTCTCCTCTGAACGTTAGCCACTTCTTGTGGAGCTTCCTCCTCCCTCTCCCCTTCTGATAATTCAGGGTTGTCGCCTATTTCTACTCGCCGCCGAGTCAACAGTTGTCTAAGCCCTTTGAGCAACCTAGGGCTAGCCTGCAGCATGGTGTGAAAAGACACCGACACCATGGTTTCTAGTAACTTGCTAATGGTGTCGTCGATCTCAGGCAAGGATAAAATCGGGATTTGGTACCTAAACTTCTTCTTGGAAGCGGTAACTTTGTCTATAGGCTCCTCTTCCCTAGGTCTCCCATAGACCTTTTCCGGTTCCTCGGCCTCAGGCTCTGCCTGGGGTTCCGAACTTCCAGCAACCTCCTCCATCACGGTGTCACGGTTAATCCTTCTCCCATCCGTTCCTAGTCGAGTGGTTGCGTTCACCCTATCACGTCCGTCGTTTTCCAAAATAAAGTTGACCTGTGGCCCGCGCCCCCGGAGTTGATCCCAGATGATTTCGCCCACCGGTTCGGCTTCTACGGCCGTTATTTCTAACCCGTTGAGCATGATAATGACTCGCCGCATCCCTCCTAGCGAGTTCCAGTTCACCCGTTCCCCTTGTGGTCCAAATATCTCCCCCTTTAATGACCTGGTACACCTTCTTTTCATAATATCATGGTTGAGCTTTGGGCAAGCGCGCACATAATGTACCATCGCGGTACAGTACTTGCATTGCTCATTAGCAGGATCTCTTCGTCTGAATCCCCGGTTGGCTACACCAGGCGGAACCACAACTTCCTGGGGAGGGAGGGTGGGTCGGGATACTTGCACCTGCATAACCTGTAGCGCGCCCTCCATCCTTTCAATTTTATTGTCGACCCCGTGCATCCGCTCATGTAGACTTCCAATCCCCTTCTTTACCTTGTCGCCCGTTCTACCGGTCAGATCTATGACTTCACCTTCCTTAAGCAAGGCCAATGTCTCGGTCACTACCGTCTTTTCGGCCAGATCCGTTACCGTACTGAAATCAACATCCCTAGTGTTTACAAATTTGCTCGTCTATTGGTAAGCCGACAGGATCTTGTCCTTGTCGAACTCAGAGAACTGTCTGAGGAAGTACTTATTCATTATTCGGTCCGTAACCCCGGGGATTCTTACTGCTACCAAGGTGAACTCCCGTAGGAAGTCATTGTACGTTGCGAAGTTCTTCCTTTGGACTGCTGCTAAATCGGCCTCCGTTACCATCTTCTCTGCTGCCAGATACTTTCTCATCATCACATCCCGGGTTTCCTTCCAAAACCGGTTTGCGGCTACAATTGTCATTATGTCCCGTCCTAAGCTTAACGGCAGATGCTGTCCTAGATGGTCCATCTTTTCCTCCTCGGTCCACTTTAGTAACGCATCTAGGTTCTCGTCGTCGATCACGAACTGCGTGATGTTTGCGCCATCGAAAGTCAGCTTTTTCTTGGCGTCTGCTAGATAGCGTTGGTTCTTGTTCAGTGCTCGTGCAAGGGATGATACTATCTTCCTAAGGCCGCCTTCGGAGCTACTGGCTTCGCCTGCCATGCTGGTATCTGGCCCTTCCTTGCCGGCTTTCTGCCGCCCTCTAGTCTTTGTCGTTCCTTCCGGGTGGAACCATCCCAACACCCTTTCTCTGAGGCTCCAGAGCCCTTCGCATCCTCGCGATACCGCTGGCGAGGTCGGAAGACGGCTAGCCCTACTGTCTATGGCTAAGGGGTTCGTAGCCTTCTCTGCCTCCATTCCCGGAGAGTTCTCTCTCTCTTTCCTTCTTTTGCTCGACGTTCCCCCACGGTCACTACCCTTGTCCCCTTGCCCAGTTCCGCCCCCGCTGGTTTTCCGTTCGTCCCGCGGTACCTCCTGCAGAGGGCCTTCCTCGTTCCCAATCATCATTTCCTCAATTAACATTGCCTTGTATTCCGCGGTCCTTTTCTCTATCTCGGCTAGTTTGCGCCTCGCGTCCGTGACCCTTACTTTCTTAGACACAGCTCCCTCCGAGTTCTCGGGGCTCGCCCTATCCTTATTCCTGCCCTCCTTCTTTTCCTGAGTCCCCTGTCTGCCTCCCCCGACTTTTCCTGAGCTCTCTCCCGAGGACATTTCCTTCCGGTTCCCTTTGGTGTCATCCGGATTTGTTGATTCCCTGTCTTTCTGCCCTTCCTTGCTTTGCTCAGCACTGCCTCCTAAGCCTGGTCCTCCCTCGCTTTCATGATAACCTGTCTCATCCTCCGTTGCCATACTTGCCTACTTCTGCATAATCAAAGGATTCCCCAGAACAAACGCAATGCGAGGCATTTAGGTTCTCTGGGTTCCAATCCTGTTGGTTTATCCTTTTATTGGCAATTAGGTTTTTCCCCATTCCCATTTCCTGATGGCTTCCTTAATATGAGCCGCGTCCGGCTCTGCTGGCTCACCGAGAAACGGGCGTGACTTAGTTTCCTTTATCACTGGCTTGTTTAGAGCCCCCTTATTCTGTCGGTCGGTGCGTAGGGGTCCGGGTTGGGCAACCCGCTAGGGAAAAGTTTTCCTGCGTTGTGTTCCCTGGCTGGCGGTTATTAATCATCCAGGTCCGAGGCCCCCCCTTTCCTATTTCTGTCGGTGAGCCTTCGAACGTAGCGGACTGTACTTGATTCGCCCTACTGGCTCGCCTGCGGGTGCTAGTCCCGTTCTCGCCCTCGTGGCCCTTCCGGTTCGGTAGGCTCCTCGAATAGTTGAGCCACCCCCGTTAGATAATTCTCCCCTATCTCGATTTCCCTTTGGATTATGCGTTCGCACCCCGTCCAGTATAGCCGGGGCGCACAAAACATCAGGATGTGGATGACTTCTAGTAATTCGTGGGCTCTGTTTCCCCAGAACGGCCCATGTTCCACAGCGACATCATAGAACATCCCGATGGTCGGAGAGGGAAAGTGGTCTGCCCAGACTATCGCCGAGTCTGCCAGCTCCCGCGCCCGTGCAAGGCTCCCGAAGACGAGGTCTATCATAAAACGGGGAACTCGGCACCTCAGCGGTGTGGTTGGTGCCCTGAATTCCAGCGTTGTCACGCGGGGATCCCCGGGGCCCAAGCCGGGGTAGGGGTTTCAACCCCGGAACCCCACCGCGGGGCTACCTGAACCCCGCCCCCGCAGAAGGAACCCCGGCCCTGCCCCAACCCCGCAACCCCGC